GGGAGGAGGGCAAAGGGGTGGAGCGGTAGAAGCCTCAGGGGAGGAAGGGGTGGGCAGGAGAAGCCGCTGGTGACAATTTCGTCTGGGTCCAGGCAAACATGAGGCAGCTGCCAGTCGGCCTGGGCAGTCTTGTCTGCCTCGGCTGGGAAGTAAGGAGAACTGGCAACAGTTTCCTCAGCGCCCAGGATGCAGCGGCTAAGGTAGGTGCTGGGGGACTGGGGTCTTGCTCTGGAGAGGGGTGTGCGGGTGGAGGAATGGGGGCTTCCGGGGGTTGCCCTGGACCAGGAAGCTTTTCCCTTTGACCCTCATCCCTCTTGTTCGACTTTCCTTTGGGAAAAGTGAGCGTTGGGGTGTCCTGGCTGGGAGGCTGAACTCCTGGGGCTCCCTTTAGATGGGAGAGCTTTTAAGCATTTGTGGAAGAGAAGCTGGACAGAGGAGGAGCTTGGGGTCAGCCCACGAATTGTCCTGCTCAATTAGGTCTCTGGGCCAGGTGCCAGCGTGGCTAACACTGAACCTGGAGCCCACAGCCCTCGGGGTTGGGGGAGGGGCGAGCCTGGGAGGGAGTCACTTGTGCTTGGAGGCTGGTCAATGAACGCATCTTCTAATCAATCACTCAAGTAATGAATGAGTGCCCACTTCCCCTGAAAGGGCTAGGAGCCCCTAACAAGAACACTTCCTACACATTCCCTCTCACTGGGGCTGTGGAGGGTTGAGAGAGAGAACACAAGGAAAATGCCTGCCACAGAGTTCAAGAAACGGTGGTGGGGAGCGGGGAAGGGTAAATAATTAAAGGAGGAAGAAGGAGGGAAGGAGATATAAGCCGGACCCCAGCCTCTAGCTGACTCTCCAAAGGTCTGCGGCTCACACATTCAGGATAGTTCAGGACCAGGTCTGACTGCTCATAACAGAACACCCCAAACAGCAGTGGAGGGAACAAAGTCGGTGGGGTTTGTCTGTCGTGCAGAAGTCCAGAGGGGCATTGGAGGGCCCGGTCACAGCATGTCAGGCTGCTCGGTATCATCCCTGAGGTTACCTTAAGGGGCAACATGGCCGCTGGAGCTCCAGCCAGCACATGTGGACTCATACTGACATATTAGCAGGAAGAAGAAAGAAAGAAGGGCAAAAGTTCCCCAGTAAAATCAGGGTGTTGCGTGCAGGAGAGAATGGATACGGGGATGGCACCTCAGCATCTCTGCCCTGAAGAGATGATGGCTTCCTGCTTCTTTCACCTGTGAGGAAAGCATGCCAGCATGGGCTGGGGGTTGGCTAGGACCACACTGCTCGCAAACCCCAGGCCTCCCTTGCTCTGTCTGCTCCATTTTCCAGGGTGCCAAGAAGATCAGCTGAGGTGATGGCTTGAAGCTCTTTGAGTATGGCAGCATTGCACATGAGAAATGTGCCTTCTCTCCTGTCACCTCAAGTCTCCCCAGCAACCACCACGCAGGCAGGGCAGAGCAGAAAAACTTAGCACCTTGTCCCAGGCTCATACACTACGTGCTTGCTGCACACACACAAGCACACACCACATGCAGCACAGACCCAGTGCATCCTGGGTGTTGGTATGAGCATGGACTGCATAGCCATGGATACACACAACTGTGTCCATAGGCAGAGATGCATCGAGCCGCCCTGCATGACCACCCTGCATGGAGATGGGAATTTTCACAGTCAGGCTGCACATAGATGCACACACAGCCAGCTCTGTTCACCAGCAAGGGACCTTCCCGCCTCCCTTGCCTTTCCTCTGCTGCTCTTAACTGCCAAAGTTCACTCTGGGAGATTGGCCACCCTGCCCTTGCCAGACTGGCAGAGCTAGTGGCCTGAGTCCTGCAGGTACATCTGGTCTTCCCTTAGCCATTGTGACCCCACACTGCCCTCCACCCTCCCACACCGGCTCCTGGGCCCCAGTGGGTGTCACTGTCCTTATATCTGCTAATGTCCTTCCTGTGACTGGCCTGGCCAGGGAGGGGAGTGGAACCCACACCTTCTGGTGCTGGGCCAAGCCCAGGAGAAGCCACCACTAGGTTTCTCAACAAGATCAATGGGAGATTGTGAAAAATCATCTTCCTCTCTTGTGGCAGCAGGGACTGTAGTCAAAGCTCAGGCTGGGAGGTGTTCTGACTCCTGGGTCACGGTCAGTGGCTGCCCCCAGTAATGCCTCATGACTGCCCGGCTCCTCAGCCTTCTCCTCACACTCTCCAGCCATTCACAAATTCTCACTCCTGGGAGGAGGTGGGGATGCACTGCCATTCCCATTGTAGACACTGAAGTTCAGAGAAGGGGAACAGCCTGTCGAAGCTCCAGAACTCCATGAGCTTGATCCCATGAGCTCTTAGGAGAAAGGAGCGACGAATCCACAGACTCTGTGGCAGGGGTGTCTTCACAGCCTAGCCTATGCACTGGGAGCCCCTTCTGCCTGGCCTCCAGCCTTATTGCAGGGCACTGTGCCAGATGGGCCCTAATTTGCTCCAACATTTCAAAAGACCCCAGGCTGCACTGGGAAGAAAAGGGCTCTGCCTCTGCTCTCCAGGTAGAGCACGGAAGAAGGGCAGGGCTGAGGGCCAGGAGCCTTGGGGTGCCAACCACTATCCAGGCCATTGTCTCCTGCATTACCTCCCTGGACCCTCAGAGAGCCCACAAGACAGCTGCTAGTATTGTCCCCACTTTACAGATAGGGAAACAGAGGCCTGCCCCAGACTGCAGGCTACAAAAGGTTGTGGCTGAGATTTGAACCCTGCTCTGTCTTACTCCAGAGTGGAGGTCTCTAGGGATTGGGGGCTGTGGGAAGACGCAGGAGAAGGGCATGCCTTTAACCAGATGGCAGAGGAGGGGTGCATCCCAGCCACAGGCCTGGCTCCCTGGCCTTGTGGTCTGTTGTGCCCTCTGAGCCCTCTAGTGAGTGCACACAAGCCAGACCCCCCAGGTCACATCTCCTGCATTAGCCACGTGACCTTGAGCTAGCTGCTTCCCATTTTTGCACTGCAGATGCAGAGTTAGGAAGGAAAGGACCCCAATATTTTGATTTCAGGTTGCCTTGTCTTACCAAAACCTTCTGTGAGAGGCAGAGAACTGTTTTTCTGACTCAGCAGTGGGGGCTTAGAGCCCACCTGCCCTCCCCAGAGCACCCCCAGGCATCCCAGGGACTTCCAGGAGCAGCCATTGTGGCTTCTGAGGGGAAGAAGGTACCTCAGTTTCCAAGGTGAAACAGAAGAGGGGAGAGAAGTTAGCATGTCTTCCTGACCTGGTGCCCAGGGTGGGCAGGAGCCTGAGAATGAAGGGAAGGCACAGCATGGGGCACAGTGTGGGGTGAGTCCCCTTGTGGCTCCCTGCCCAGGGCCTCCAGCTCCAGCTGACTAATGTTCCCCTTGAGCAGGTGCATCTGTCATCTGTGATCAGCCCACATCCTGGAACGCCACAGAACAGCCCTGTGGCAGGGAGAGAAGCAAGGGGACTCGCAGAGTTGGAGAGGGAGCAGCCGAGCTGAGACAGGAGGGCAGCGTGGGTGGGAGTTGTCCCACACTAGGGTTGGCCCAGCCTCCCCCTCCCATCTGCCACCTTAGCTCTATGCCCAGTGTGCCCTCTCCATCAGTCTGGCCGGGCCTGAGTTAGGATCAGCCAGGAAAAGCAGCTGCTGGTCTTTTCTGGCCTGGCCTCCCCACCTGCCCAACACCCCCAGCCTTCCCCAACCTTCAGCACATGGACAGCAGGCATACGCTGGGACAGGCCAGGGGCAGATCCCAGTCCCCTGCCGCTGGTGCCACATGCCCCTGTGCTCAGCTCTCTCAAGGTGGGTACTCTGGGCAGTGCCTGAGAGAACCAAACTCTACCCTACCTGTGCCCCACTGACTAAGGGCAGGGCCCTCCCCTCCCTGGGCCTCAGTCTTCCCATCTGGCTCTGAGAGAGGCTCACAGCATTTGCCAGGCCCTGTAACGAGCGGTGTGAGGCTGGGAGGGCACAGGCCTGGCTGACTTAGTCCAAGGCCACCTCCAGCAGTGCCCCCACATGTGCACACTAATGTCCATGGTTCTTGCACAGAACCCAGATCCTCACCGTACAGGACTGAGGGACCCTGGGCAGGAGATGGGCATGGCCAGGAGGTGCTGTAGCTGTGCCTTGTTGGCTGTGAGCCCTGGCTTTGAACCAGCAGACCTGGGCTCAGTCCTGGCCCCGTCATGCACTGGCTGTGTATCCTCTGACAGGTTACATAGCTCCTCTGTGCCATTGTCTCCTCATTTTCTTGGGGGAAGTCTGAATATCACAGACCTCTCCAGATAAATGCGATCCTTTACCAACCAGCTTGGCCTGGCCACTGGCACAGAGTGAGGCCTCCACACATGAAGGGAATACTTATGTCATTCCTTCTGGCTGCTGGGAGAGCCTGGGAGGGCCACCAAGAGGCAATGTGGCCATGGGCAACTCAAGTCCACCCCTGGGTTAACATGACAACCTCCTTTGTAAGGCAGCATGGGGAGCCATCAGAGCAGGGTGGAACAGCCCAGTTCTCCCCTCTTCTGCTCTAGTGCTGTGAGACCGATGGGGCTCAGGGCTGTATGTGCATGTGTGTGTGCATATATAGATGTGTTCGTAGGCATGTGTACATATTTGTGTGTGTGTGTGTGTGTGTGTGCGTGCGCATGCACGCACATATGTGCATGCACATCTTCAGGGACTCACGACAACTTCATCTCCCCCAACAAGGCGAGCTGCCTGGCTCATGTCTGTCTGTGCCCAGGGGTGAGTGGAGAATCCAGGCTCCCCAAAGCTTCCCCATTCCATAGCCCGGGGGCCTGCACGACACAACGCCCACCATTGCTTCCTGCCATCTGCCTCGAGCAATAGAAATAGAGCCAGTGACAGCAAGTAGTGCTGGGTAGGCCAGTCTGTGCTGCAGCAGCCATGGACAGGGTAGGGGGTGGGGAGCCCCTCATCTGAGCAGCCTCCTTGTCCCCTGCTGGCCCTGATCTCAGGGAAGCCCTACCAGAAAGGAAGGGGGTGAGAATCAGGATACCCCCTTCCCCTTCCAGGCAAGGCCAAGAATTTTCTATCTGGAGGGACAGACACTCTAAACAAACTCTCCAAGCTGCATTTTCAGATCTACCAAGGAGATGTATAAAAACAGAGTAGCCCAGGCCTCTCTGCATCAAACAATCCAGCCCCTGGGCAGGCAGGTGGTGGGAGCCTCCCCATGTGATTCCGGCGTGCAGCAGCTAAGAGTGGTATGCTGGGCCTCCCTGCTGGGCATGCTGGGCTGTGGGCTTGGGCAGCCAGATCCTCCCTGGGATCAACACTGGGCCTCCCCTGCTGGGGCTTTGTCAACTCTCCTTCCCCTTAACCCTGTGAGGTCATATTGTTACCCCCATTTTGCAGATGAGGAAACTGAGGCTTGGAGCTATCAGGTTCTCTGTCAGGGTCACCAATCTGGGAAGTGAGGGTGCAGGATTCATGTAACTGGATGGCCACAGACCCCTCCCCTGTCCTTGGCTACTGGAAATCATATCCACTGCCTGTGATCTCCTACTCAGTCCCCAACTAACCGTGTCCTCTGAGCCTGCATCCATATGAAGCCACTCACTGCTATTTTACATCCATTAAATCTGTAGACATCTGGGAGGAGTCAGCCGTGTGTCTTGCCCATGCACGTGCTCCTAGAGTGCCATCTCTGGGGAAAGGAACCTGGATGCTTTAACAAAGGATTTCTAGGACCCTGCCTGGCCTCTGGCCATGCATCCAACCTTCTCAAAGGCCACCATGTGCCTCCTGGTCACCTCTGCCACGTGAACTCTGGAAGGCTCTCTGGGAGTTTCTCTGGAGCACCGTTGCTGAGAACCATGGAGACTGAACTAGCAGCTCAAGGGTATCACCTTGGCACACCCCTGACAGTCTGACTCCATCTTCTCAGCCAGATGGACCCCCACAAGATGAAGCTGTGCCCTGCTGGGAATGGATCAGGGAGTGGGATACTGCTCTGTGGGCCACCTGGCCTCTCAGGGACCCACAGGGTGGGGAGTCATGAGGTGGAATGTCTGGTCCACGTCCTGGAGGTTTGTTCCAAGCCCTTAGCCTTTGTCTGTGGTGTGGAGACTCTCAGGTAGAGACGGGACTGTGTTCACTGTGAGAGGAAGGTATGGGGACAGCTACATCCCTGCAGTGACAGTTTTCTCAGGCCCTGGAGAGTCACCACCCCTCCCTCACTGCCCACATCTAGAGTAGGTCCTAAGTATCTGTCTCCATAATATCCCCAGCACACAGCCATGACCTCCACCTGGCTCAGCCTTCCCCACCTCTCCTGAGCCTGGTCACCCCTCACCTCCCCCAGGTGGCCCCCTATCTCATCATCCTCCAACCTGACCTGCATACTCCACCAGGCCACCCTTCTGAGGCAGCTCTGGCTCTAGCTGGACTTGGGTGGCAGAGAGGAGCTGGGGCGGCTGTGCCCTGCCAGGAGGACACTGTCCCAAGCCAGCCAGCTGGCAGGTCTGAGAACCATCCGGACCGGTGCTGTCCAATGAAGACATGATGAAGCCACAGATGCCACTTAAAATGTTCCAGTAGGCACAGAAAAGAAAGAAAAAAAGTTAAATTATTTTAACCATATGTCTTATTAAACCCAATGTAAATGATTATCATTTCAACCTGTAATCAATATAAAGCATTTTTAATGAGCTATTTGGTAGTCTAGTAAGTAAATTTTGGAACCTGTGTGTGTTTGCACAGAGGGCACGTGTCAATGTGGACCAGCCACAGGTCAGTATCAGCAGCCTGTGTGGTGAGAGGTCGCCATCACTCAGACTTGGGGTGTTGCCTGGCTGAGTGGAGCAAGCTGCCAGCCTCAGCCACAGAGAGAAACACATTTTTTGCCTTTACTGTTTTGCTGCATCTGTTGTGACCTGTGCTATCGTTTCTTATTTTTATTTAAATTAACTCATGTGTTGAATTTTAATGAATCCTTTTAAAAGGGAATCTTCAAATCGGCACCATCAGTAGGAAGCTAGGAGCAGAAGTGGAAGGTAACCATCTCCGTGCCTTGAACTAAGGCAGCAGCGATAAACTCCCACCTACCGTCTGTGGCGTGTTGAGGCTCTGAGCTGAGGCTGTGCCCTCCCTTTGAAAGGGGAAGGCAGTGGGGAGTTGGAGAGTGCACTGGCCCTGAGTCTGAGTCATCTCCTGCACCTTGGAGGCGCAGCTCCCCAGTGCCAGAGACCGCAGGCCAAAGCCCCCAGGACACAGCTGACTCACAACAGGTTGGGCTTACTCCTGTGGAATAACAGGAGAACGCACACCCCAGGGACCCTCGCAAGCTGCATGAGAGGGGGTGAGCTAGAAACCATTATAGGATTTGGGGCTCAGTTGGGTGCTTTGGGTAATTTTGAGGTTCTAAGGAACCTCAGAAACTTGGTATGAGCATTAAATAAGATACTCCCTCCAAACACCGAACTCAGCACCAGCACACAGCAGGTGCATCACCTATGCCCTCCCTTTTCCGTCTGTCCCCTGGCTACACACAGGCCAGGAGGACTTAGAAAAAAGTTAAGACCTGGTCCTGGCCTGCCTGGCTGGGCAGGAGCTACAAACTGCAGCCCCCAACTGACTGGCAGAGAATGGCCTGGCCACCAGCAGCCTCTACACTTGAGGGAAACTTGTGACCTTCAAGAAGACTGTAGGACCCCAGGGCCAGCCTAGGGCTGTTTCTGGGACACAGCCCTGAATGCCCACACTGTCAGGTGTGCCACTGGGGACTCTGTGTGACCCCAGGGCCCAGATCTTCTGGCTTCACTGGTCTCTGCCACCTAATTCTGACCATCCCCTGAAGCTGGTGGAAAATGACAGTTCTGTTACCCATTAAAACGAGGCGGGCATCGAGCAGGAGTCGGGGGAGAGTCCTAGGTGAATTCTGAAGAGAAGAGGGGACTTTTGATCATTCATGAGTGTTTATCAAGGGCCTTGTGCATGCTTGCATTTCTTTTTTTTTTTTTTTTTTTTTTTTTTTTTTTGAGACGGAGTTTCGCTCGTTACCCAGGCTGGAGTGCAATGGCGCAATCTCGGCTCACCGCAACCTCTGCCCCCTGGGTTCAGGCAATTCTCCTGCCTCAGCCTCCTGAGTAGCTGGGATTACAGGCACGCACCACCGTGCCCAGCTAATTTTTTGTAATTTTTAGTAGAGACGGGGTTTCACCATGTTGACCAGGATGGTCTCGATCTGTTGACCTCGTGATCCACCTGCCTCGGCCTCCCAAAGTGCTGGGATTACAGGCTTGAGCCACCGTGCATGCTTGCATTTCTTACATACTCTTTTTGGAGGTGTGAGAGTATTTTTTAATAGAAATCTTTTTTGAGCACATTGTAAATTCACATGTAGTTTTAGGAATTCACACAGAGGGCCCTTGTACCCTTTACCCGGTTTCCCCAATGACAGCATCTTGCAAAACTCCAGCACGATAACACAATTAGAGTGTCTGCAATGATGCAAGCCACCAGTCCTACTCCAATTTCCCAGTTCACACGCACTCATTTCCGTGTGCATTTTGTGCTACAATTTCATCACATGTGTGGCTTCAGGTACCTAACAGCACCGTCAGGATGCGAAACAGCTCCGTCCCCACGAGGCCCCTCCTGCTGCCTGTGAGAGCCACACCCCCGCCCTCACACCTGCCTCACCCCATCCTTAACCCCAGCCCTCTAATCTGTTCTTCATTTCTAAAATGGAGAACTTTGTCATTTGACCATGTTATAGAAATAGAATCACACAGACTGTCACCTTTTGGGTTGGCTTTTTTCATTCAGCACAGTTCTCTGGAGGTTCACGTAGGTGTGGTGTGCGCCAATAGTTTGTTTTACTTGTTCAGAATTCCATGATATGGACACACCGTGGTTTGTTTAATCATTCACCCACTGAGGGGCATTGGGATGCTTCCAGTTTGGGGCCATTCCAGATAAAGCTGCCATGAACACGTGTGTACAGGTTTCACTTGAACATAACTTTTCATTTCTCTGGGATAAAAGCCCAAGAGCGCAGTGGCCAGGCTCTGTGGCAGCACATGCTTAGTTTCCACAGGAAGCTGCCAAACTATTCTCCAGAGTGGCTAAAGCATTTACCCTTTCCACTGGCAATGGAGAGGTGATTTCGTTTCTCCACATCGTCACCAGCATTCAGTTGTCATCGTCTTTGTTTGGACAGGCACGTAGTGCTGTCTCCAGGTGGTCCTCCTCTGTTTCCAGAATGGCTGGTGACGGTGGACATCTCTTCTGTCTCCTCTGCCATCCATGCATTCTCTCTGGTGAAATGTCTGTTCGTGTCCTTCATACTTTCTAATCTGACAGTTTGCTCTTGTACTGTTGAGTTTTGAGAGTGCAGATCTTTTGGGTTCCAGGCTGTGTCATGAGGAAAAGCAGGTCACATGAGGATCAGGTTCCACGCTCACAGAGCTGATATGCTAAAGGGGAGAGACAGAAAATGCACCAGACAACACAAAAATAGGATCAATTCCCAAGGGCTGGGTGCTGTGAGGAAGTGCTGAGATGGAGGTGCATGGGGAGGGCAGCCTGACGAGTCAGGCAAGGGCTCTTCTAGAACCTGAGCCCTGGGTAAGGCCTTGAACACCCAGGGCAGAAGCATCCAGTGCCAGGGCAACAGGTACCAAGGTGCTGGTGTGAGAGCAGACTTGGCATTTGAGGGGCACGGTGGGGCTGCCAGGGCCAGGCAAGGAGGTACTAGGGCTCCCAGCAGGGTGGGGGCATCTAATTCATGTCCCATCTCATCACTGCCCCAGCTCCCCTCCCAGCGCCAAGGCACCGTGGAGTGAGGGGCCATGGGGCCGCCTCTCAGGGAGCCCTCCCTTCCCTGTGGTGAGCCTCCCAAGCCAGCAGGAGGGTGCCTGGGCTGCGATTTAACATTCCCTAACAGTTCAGTCAGACCCTCTCCCAGACAGACAAGTATCAAATATTCGCGAGAATGACCCAGCCTGATGGGCACAGGCCGCAGGCCTCAGAGCCTCGGGCAGTGGGCAGTTGTGTGGCGCTGCCCAAGCTCAGCTGCTGGGGACTCCCTGCCTTCCTCTTCCCCACCCTCCCTAACCCTCCCCTCCCCTCCCCTCCTCTCCTTAGAACCCACTGCCTGCCTCACAAAGCAGAGTGGCTCTCTCTGGCCTGCCTCATTGAGGGTGGTGACCATCATGAGCCTGCCTCATGGGGCTCACAGGTGGGATTCTGGCCCCTCAGCCAGATGGAGGAGACCGGTCTGCAGCCCCGGCCACTGCTCCACCCAGACTGTCTCCACAGGGAGAAAAGACACACTGGGCCCCCTAGCCCGGGGGAGCATCACAGCACTCCTCAACTTTTGGAAGGCCATTTTTGGTAGGCAGCTGACATGGCTAGGGGGCTTCAGAACACACTCAGCTCCAGAAACCACCCCAGGGACCCGGCCCAAGAAACAGCCTTAGCAAAACCTGTGGCCAAGCCCATGTGAACTTTAGAATCAGAAGACCATGTATAGTGTGACCCTGGCATGTCCCAAAACTTCTCAGGGACTTAGTTTTCTCATCTGCCAAATGGGGATGGTGTTACTGACAACATGGGGTTGTCATGACAAGATGACTTTCAGCTCAGCATAGACATTCATGCAGGGGGTGCTCAGCCTGCCCTGTGAGCTCATCCAGCCTTCTCGAGAGGACAGAGCACTGTGAGCTAGAACCCAGGACACCCATGGGATCTCCCACATGACCTGGGCCTGGGGCTTCAAGACAGAATCCCTGTGACTAACCCTGGGCCCCAAGAAGCAGCCCTGCCAGACAGGCCAGCGTGGTTCTGAGATGGGATGCAGACAGGGCTGGGGAGTCCCAGGGAAGAGCTCCTACCAGCAGCTCTGAGGCTGCCTCAGTTTCTCCAGATGTCCTCCACTCACCCCCATGCAGAGCCCACAGCAAAGAATTTGTGACGTAATGAAGCACCCTCTGCCCCTGTCTCTCCTACTCCCCTCTCTAGCCCTTGCACCTGACAGCCCAACTAGCACAGGGGCTGCCTTGAGGGGCTACATCTGCAGAAGCCTCTCGGCAGCGTGTCCATCTGTTATACTGCTTAGAATAAGATCTTGAATAATGGAGAGGGTGTGTCCCTGACCCAGCCTGACAGGACGTGTGTGCGCATGTATATGTGTGCATTGTGCACTTGTGCATACGAACATGTGTACACATGAGTGTGCATAGCATGTGCATGTAGGGAGCTTCCCTCAGCACCCCAGGCACCCGTCCAACCCAGCTCCCACCCTCTTTCTGTTCCATCAGCATGGTCAGTGCCTCTCCTTGCTGCTGCAACTCTGGGCACCACTGAGCCCCCTCATTGCCGGGTGAGCCTTGGAGAAGGGAGGGGACATGAAGGGGTTGTTGCCAAGGGTGTGTCAGTGACAGGGGGAACGACTGTGAACTGGGGGACTGGTAATTGGGACCTAGCTAGGGAAGGCCCAAAAGCCAGGATAAGGGAACTGGACATCTCCCTGCCTAGGGGACTACTTCACCAAACACTGACTAGCTGACTGCCCATCCTGGGCATGGGTGGGCCTCAGGATGAGCCAGTGAAATACCCAGGGAGTCCTCCCTCAACTGGAGACTGCAGTGTGCAGAGACCAGTGG